GATGGGTGTGCGCACACTGTATTTGCTTTCAGCAAGCCTTTCTCTGGAAGCCTCGTTCTTTTCCGCTGTTTACTAAAATATGTTTAAATATGCCTTCACCATCTCTACGTCAACACCCTAGACCTTCTTATCATAGTGACAGGAGTTTCCACATGGCGAATGGGCTAAAGGATACCGGTGAATAGAAGGGACACGGAAGGATATTCACCTCGCTAGAACACAAGGAAATGTGGGTTGTAGTTGTGCGGGTGCAGTGCGATTTTCAAGTCATTCCGGGGCCACAGTGTCTCGAGAAGCGCTACCAATATTTGCAACAATACTCCGCTCTTTCTTACTCGAATACCGCAGAATTCTTACACAGCTAGCACAGTTGTCGGAATGGACAAAGACAAATTTTCACTCCTGTGGACAAAAATAAAACAGAAAAATTCATATGTATTAGAATGGGAACCTCTGGCTTTGTTACAGTTAAAAAGCTGTTTAGCTGGATCGGTTAAACTCGCCCTTATCCTTCATACAGTAGATAATGGCGACGAGCTAAGAGTGAAACTCTATTTTGTCAGTAAATACAACCCTTCTGGTGGATTAGGCTGCAAACACCTTTTATTATAAAGTTATAAAGAAGTAGAACAAGACCTACCTGCACACGTAACCCCATCCGCGCTGTTCATAGCATTAGCAGTTCAGGAGACAAGTTTATTGGTACCATATTAATGACGCTACCAAAAAGGGAGGAGATGTTTCTATTTAAATCCTAAACTTCGTGTCCCCTGTGTACCCAGTTAGTAAATAACTCACTTTACCTTATTCTAGTATTTCTTCTTTTATTGTAAGATTTTCACACAGTTTATTTACTTAGTCGATCCTTATTCTTTTAAGGTTACAAATAATAATAAAATTACAACGGACCAAATGGAAAATAGGCGATCCGTTGCGACTCATCTCCACACAGAGGTCCATGGTTCCGATCCCAGTTTCGGGTGACAACGCGTTAGGCACATGTTTCTTATAGTCAACTGTTATATGTTCATCTATCAGTAAAATAGGTTCCCTCGATGTTAGTTGACTAGTGTGAGTCGCATCCTGGGGACAAAAATGGCCTAGTTTCCCCGAAATATTCTGCATAACAAGGGGCTTTCTGTATAATTAATTAATGTATATAATTCAAAGTTCAAAGTTTATCTCTTAAGGTTTAAAATCTGGTTTACGTCTGGTTATTGTGTGGTTTACATGTAGTAAAAATAATTTACAGATGTCCCTAAAAACCTGGGCATGGCTAGGCTTTTCGGGCGATTATATTAAATCTTAATTTAAAAATATTAAAAAATTATGAGGTATTGGTATTATGGCTAAGTGATAAAACTAGTTTTTTGAGTTTAGCATGTGAATGCTTTTTTTTTTGGACTTACTTTGTTTCAGTTTGGAGTATCACGGCCAATTATGACTAGTTTAAGTTTTCATTTTTTGAGATTGGTTTTATTCTGTTTATGGTCAAATAGGTGAGTGAGTGTAAGTGTTCCACAGGTGGTATTCGTGTAATTAGTTGACGGGAGTGTATCAAAGAGATAAGATGTTTTCTGATGGTAGTTTTAAGGTGATGAATGTGTCTGAGTTTGATTTTAGGTGGGGGTTTCAGTTTTAGGGCCTTTGACATACTTGAATTTTTGTAAAGGTTTAGTCGGACACGGGGAATATATAGAGATGTTTGTGTCTGGTTTTGTGCCTGGGGTTTTTGTCACAACTATCAAGAAAGCATTTTAGGTCAAGGTTAATTTGGAATTTAAAGGGCCCTTTTAGTGTAGATTGCCAAATAGTAAGTGTGAAGTACTGAAAGGGGTATTTAATCTATGAAGAGTGGAGGGGGGGGGGTTGCCAGGGATGGGGTTTAGTGATTTTTTTTATGCAGCTTTTGTTGGGTTATTATTTGGGTTTGGGTTTTGTTGCTGCGTTGAACCCCCGCACAGATTCATAGGGAGGTAAGGGTTTTATAAGTGATGGTATAGTGAGAGAAGGGGAGTTTGCGGCACGTAGTTTTGTATCTTGGAGGGATCCACCCCTTTTTGGGTACTTTTTTGGTTAGTGTTGGTATGGGTGCTGAAGTTCAGGTGTTGTCGAAATATAGGCCCAGGGAAAATTTTCCCCCTTTTTGCCTGGCAATTGAGTGTTGCCCCATCTTAATGTTAATTGGGGCCTCTCCTGCCTGTACCCAAAATAAGTAGTAGGTTTTTTTAGGTTAAGCGTAAGTTTATTTTCTGTCTCCAAGTCGAAAAATTTTTAGCTTCTTAAACAATGGGTTGGGGTTGCAAGATTAGGGTGAGAGATGAAAAAGTCGTGTCGTCGCAAAGGAATGGGGTTCAGGTGTTGAGATACGTTTGGAAAAATCATTGATGTTTTGGGAAAAGGGAGGGGACCAAAGGAAACTTCCCCGCGGAATCCGTATCAAGTGTGTGTTGTTTTGCTGTGTCTTTAATGGGACATACTGAACCATTAGTAAAGGGAAAATTTGAAATATGCAAGCGCATGGCCTCTTTTTACCCTAAAAGGTCAAATTTGTGGAGTAGGTGCCTGGTCTACTGTGTCAAAGTTTTTCTTAGGTCAATAAAAATTCCCGTGGATATTTCCTTTTTTTCCAATGTGTGTAAAGCAGATCTACATTTTTATGTTGCTATTAGTGCTTTTTTTTTTCCTGAATCCAATTGGCAGGGGTTTTGGGATGTTTTGTGCCGTTATAAATGATATAGTTCCCGTGCACGGTTTTCAAAGATTTTTGGGTACAATGGTAAGTTTGATATTGGCCTATAGTGTTTAAAATCTGTAGGGTCACCACCTTTTTGTTTGGTGTAACCCTTGCCGTCTTGAGTAGTTTCGGGGAAGTTGTGCTAGTTTCTAGTGGGACTTGTTAAAAGTAATGTGATAGCATGCGAGAAGACATAGGCAGCTACTCTGTACATTAATGGTGGGACATGAGACAGATTTCCCTGAGATATTTTTAAGTGACTTTTATAATCTCGGGTGATTTTCCATGGGCTCAGTTGGAGCAAGATAGAAAGGGATTTGGAATTTCATCTAGGTAGTCCCGGCATGGGCATTAGGGGCGTGGGAGATTTTCGTGGGTTTTTATTGTGCGAGATTTAGAACCATATGGCTGAGAAGAAGTCGTTTATCTTGTTAGCTGTGTCAGTGGGATGCAGTGGTGTTTCATTAGGTTTAGTTAGGGCAATATTCTTGTTTTTTTTCAGTTTGTGGGTCCCTAGAATCTGAGAGAGTGTTTTCCAGGTCTTTTTTATATCTCCTCTTGTGTCAGTGAATCTACTGGAGTAGTATAGTTGTTTGGCTTTCTTTATTACTTTGGTGAGGACTGATGAATAGTATTTAAGAATATCTTTGTGTATTAAGCCCTGTCTATGTTGCTTTTCATATTGGTGTTTCTTATCAATGGATTTCAGAATGGTGCTGGTTAGCCATGGGCAATCAAGCCGTTTGTTTGTGATCTGTTTCGTTTTTATAGGACAATGTTTGTTGTATAGTTTAAGTAATTTGTTAAGAAAAATGTTTGTCCAGTCATCAATACCATTGGCCTTGGAGAATTCTGTAGGCCAGTCAACAGTCTCTAGGTCAGCTGTGAACTTCCTTATTGAGGCCTCATCATGGAATCTAAATGAAACTTTGTTGTATTCAAGTGGTGGTTTACTAATATTTGTCAAGAGGAAGGTAGGGTAGTGGTCTGTAGTGCACTTATGTGTACCTGTACTTAAGTTGTCTATGTTTACTCATCAGTAAAATGGGTACCTGGGTGTTAGTGGACTGGTGTGGGTCGCATCCTGGGACAAAACTGCCTAATTTGCCCGAAATGCTCTGCATAACTACTCAGATATGGAAAACTTGAGGAAATTAAAAATGTATCAGGGTATACGACAAATTCTAACCATACAATAGAGCGAAAAAGAAATGTGAAGGACCTGGGAGTGATAATGTCAGAGGATCTCGTCTTCAAAGGCCACAACAATGTATCTACCTCATCGGGTAGGAAAATGATAGGATGGATAATGAGAACCTTCAAAACTAGGGATGCCAAGTCCATGACGACACTCCTCAAATCGTTTGTTCTTTCTAGGCTGGAATACTGCTGTACACTAACGGCCCCCTTCAAGGCTGGCGACAATGCAGACCTGGAGAGCTTACAAAGAACTTTCATAGCACACATAAGAACGATAAGATACCTAAATTACTGGGAACGGTTGAAGGTCCTTGATCTGTATTCTTTGAAACGCAGGTGAAAGAGATATATAATATACACTTGGAAGATCCTGGAGGGATTGGTACCAAAACTGCACACGAAAATCACTTCCAATGAAAGCAAAAAACTTGGCAGGAGATGCAACATTCCCCCGATGAAAAGCAAGGGCGCCACGAGTACACTGAGAGACAACACAGTAAGTGTCCGGGGCCCAAGACTGTTCAATTGCCTCCCAGCATACATAAGGGGGATTACCAACAGACCCCTGGCTGTCTTCAAGAAGGCACTGGACAGGCACCTAAAGTCAGTACCTGACCAACCGGGCTGTGGTCCGTACGTCAGTTTGCGTGCGGCTGGCAGTAACAGCCTAGTTGATCAGACCCTGATCCACCATGAGGCCTGGCCTCAGACCGAGCCAAGGGGGCGTTGACCCCCGAAACCCTCTCCAAGTAATAACAAGGGACTTTCTATATAGTAGTATGTCATTGATGTCGGCTATGGCCTGTATACCTTGTACATGTACTTGTAGTAAATAAAGATTATTATTATTATTATTATTATTATTATTATTATTATTATTATTATTATTATTATTATTATTATTATATTAAATGAACTTACTAACTTTCTAAGCAGTGATGGACACGGCGGAAGCTGTCAGTAGCCCTTGAAACCCCCAACAATAGTAATAGGCAGTAAATGGTACATATCATGAAGAAGTAGTGAACACGTAGCCTGAAGAAGTAGTGAACACGTAGCCTGAAGAAGTAGTGAACACGTAGCCTGAAGAAGTAGTGAACACGTAGCCTGAAGAAGTAGTGAACACGTAGCCTGAAGAAGTAGTGAACACGTAGCCTGAAGAAGTAGTGAACACGTAGCCTGAAGAAGTAGTGAACACGTAGCCTGAAGAAGTAGTGAACACGTAGCCTTGAAGAAGTAGTGAACACGTAGCCTGAAGAAGTAGTGAACACGTAGCCTGAAGAAGTAGTGAACACGTAGCCTTGAAGAAGTAGTGAACACGTAACCTGAAGAAGTAGTGAACACGTAGCCTGAAGAAGTAGTGAACACGTAGCCTGAAGAAGTACTGAACACGTAGCCTGAAGAAGTACTGAACACGTAGCATGAAGTAGTGAACACGTAGCCTGAAGAAGTAGTGAATACGTAGCCTGAAGAAGTACTGAACACGTAGCCTGAAGTACTGAACACGTAGCATGAAGAAGTAGTGAACACGTAGCCTGAAGAAGTACTGAACACGTAGCATGAAGAAGTAGTGAACACGTAGCCTGAAGAAGTAGTGAACACGTAGCCTGAAGAAGTAGTGAACACGTAGCCTGAAGAAGTAGTGAACACGTAGCCTGAAGAAGTACTGAACACGTAGCCTGAAGAAGTACTGAACACGTAGCCTGAAGAAGTAGTGAACACGTAGCCTGAAGAAGTAATGGACATGTAGCCTGAAGAAGTAATAAATGGTAATGGACACAGCCTTAAGAAGTAATGGACACGTAAACTGAAGAATCCTCTTAGGTAATCTGGACATGTCCTGAATAAGGTAAGAAAACTACAAAAGAAAAAAAAAGGGGGGGGACAGGAACTTCACCTGACAGTTGTGTTATTCACTTGTTTTATTATACTGTACCTACAGCAGGTGGTCAGATAAGATTTGATGTGATTTTTAACCTGGGTTAGGAGGGTTAGCCACCCAGGATAGCCCATGAAAGCCATTGTGTCATCAAGGTGTTAGTCGACTATGTGTGGGTCGTAACCTGAGGGAGAAGATTGAGATCCCAGTTAAAATAAAAAGCATTTCCCAATGACACACCGACTCTTCGAATATTTTGAATTACTAACCCTCCAGGTTAGAAATCCGAATAAAATCTTATCTTACCATGTGAAGTCACGGGGGAGCAGAAATATTCACATACTCTGTATGTATCATTTACCTGACTATGTCCCTTTTGTATAGTACCATATTTTCTGGCATATAATTTGTGCCTTCTTTTCCACAAAAAGTCTTGGAGAATCACCCTGTGCCATATGTACTCAAGATCAGAGTCAAGGGTAATCTTGTGTTACACTTTAGCATAAAGTAAGAGGGTAATTATCCCATGAATAATTACTGATTTATCATTATGATACTTCTATCATGCACCTTATATGCCGGAAAATAAGGTAGGTTGATTTTATGAAATGTGAGTTATAAAACAAATTTAGATAAATTACTTGTATATTTTAGATGATGTTTAGATTGACATGCATGTCTGTTTGATGACATGTATAATTGGTACTCCATTGAGTTTAAATATTTTTTGAGGATTTATACAGATATCCTGGGTTAAATTATCATTAAATGTCTTAGGTATAAACTATTTTGTATACTATATCAGCATGGCATACTTAAATACAGAATTAAACTACATAAACATTATCCTGAAAACAGCCAGAATAGATGTACAGTATGTAGCTTGAAACATGAAGACCACATAAAATTCCGTTTTATATATGATGGAGTTGTTAAGACTGACCACGGTATAAGCCTTATTGACTCCTACATCTGAGAGGCATGGAAGAATTGTCCATGTTTGGGCAGAAACACATTTCTGAAAGGAAATTTAGACCTTGCTAACAGAAATCTTTTATAGTACTTTTGTTTTGATTATTTTACATTCTCAATTATCATATCTTAAAATTAACCTTAAATTGTTAGTAACTTTATTATTTAGTACTCTATACTAAAGGCACTGATTTATTTTTCAGATGGAAACAGCAAAACAAGGCTAGAAGGATCTTAATGTGGAAAAACCTAAGGTGGCTGCCAAATTATTCTGAACTATGAAGAATGTGATTTGAAAGGGTTTGTAGCTTCATTTAAACACAACTGTTTAATAAATATTTTCTTAGAGACAGAAAAATTATATTGTTATCATGAGTGAACATGTACATGCTGGCTCACTGCCTGGGCAAAATCATGTTGTAGGTGTCATTGAAAAAAAGATGATCTTAGCTTAGAGACATCAGCTCAAGTTATGATAGGGGATTATTAAAAAGTATTAAAAATGAAACCTCTTGGTAAAGAACAGATAATCAAAGCAGCAATAATTCCTGATAGACGATCAGTGGAAGTGTTGCACATGGACGATGGCATAACAGTTCAAGTCTTTCATATGGATGGAGGACACACTCTTGAATTGATGCATGTAGATGGAGATGAACATTCAGAAGTGATTCATATTGATGGTAGCACCAGTATAGAACTTATAAGTGAGAATGAACCAATCAGAGCCCCAGTTGTTACAACTTTTTCTCCTGCATCATTTGCCAGGGAAAAAGAAACGTATGTGCTACCGTATGACTACAATATATCAAAAGTACGTAATACTATAGCAACACAGACAGACTTATGTAATAGCTGTGGGCCAAGCATGAATTTGCTTTTCTGCACCTTCTTCAGTGATGGCAATGTTCAAACTCAGTGTGACATGCCGACACAGTGCCATGCAAGTGTGTCGACCATCATGAATGCCAGTTGTAAGATACAGCATAAGCATCGGATTAATTACACTCATATGGAAAATAAAGGTTCATCATCACTCAAGACCGAAGAAAAGGAGAGCTTTGATGCTGAGAGAGCATGTAAGTCTATAGAATCTTTCTTATTTTTAATGCAATATAGTAATGATTTTTGCAATGTGTGCAAGAATTTGCATTGATGTGACTTGATGAGCTATATTGTATGATGCATGTTCATGAATGCATATTGAAAACAACTATCAGTAAATAAACAGAAGAATGGAGCTCTCATTTTGAGACTCTCGTCCATCCTTTTGTTTATTCATTTACTGTAGTGTATCACACTAATTAAAATGCATATATCATTTGCAGCAATGGATTTCAGTTACTGTTGTTAGGTTGTTTAAGAGTAATGTAATAGAAGACAGTAAATGTGTGCTTGATTCATTTGGATGTGTCTAGCTGGCTAGCCCTTGTGGCTTAGCGCTTCTTTTTAATTATAATAAATAATTGGCAGAGAGCATGCGTAGTTCCTTTGTATAAAGGCAAAGGGGACAAAAGAGAGTGCAAAAATTATAGGGGGATAAGTCTGTTGAGTATACCTGGTAAAGTGTATGGTAGAGTTATTATTGAAAGAATTAAGAGTAAGATGGAGAATAGGATAGCAGATGAACAAGGAGGCTTTAGGAAAGGTAGGGGGTGTGTGGACCAGGTGTTTACAGTGAAACATATAAGTGAACAGTATTTAGATAAGGCTAAAGAGGTCTTTGTGGCATTTATGGATTTGGAAAAGGCATATGACAGGGTGGATAGGGGGGCAATGTGGCAGATGTTGCAGGTGTATGGTGTAGGAGGTAGGTTACTGAAAGCAGTGAAGAGTTTTTACGAGGATAGTGAGGCTCAAGTTAGAGTATGTAGGAAAGAGGGAAATTATTTCCCAGTAAAAGTAGGCCTTAGACAAGGATGTGTGATGTCACCGTGGTTGTTTAATATATTTATAGATGGGGTTGTAAGAGAAGTAAATGCGAGGGTCTTGGAAAGAGGCGTGGAGTTAAAAGATAAAGAATCACACATAAAGTGGGAGTTGTCACAGTTGCTCTTTGCTGATGACACTGTGCTCTTGGGAGATTCTGAAGAGAAGTTGCAGAGATTGGTGGATGAATTTGGTAGGGTGTGCAAAAGAAGAAAATTGAAAGTGAATACAGGAAAGAGTAAGGTTATGAGGATAAAAAGATTAGGTGGTGAAAGATTGGATATCAAATTGGAGGGAGAGAGTATGGAGGAAGTGAATGTATTCAGATATTTGGGAGTGGACGTGTCAGCGGATGGGTCTATGAAAGATGAGGTGAATCATAGAATTGATGAGGGGAAAAGGGTGAGTGGTGCACTTAGGAGTCTGTGGAGACAAAGAACTTTGTCCTTGGAGGCAAAGAGGGAAATGTATGAGAGTATAGTTTTACCAACGCTCTTATATGGGTGTGAAGCATAGGTGATGAATGTTGCAGCGACGAGAAGGCTGGAGGCAGTGGAGATGTCATGTCTGAGGGCAATGTGTGGTGTGAATATAATGCAGAGAATTCGTAGTTTGGAAGTTAGGAGGAGGTGCGGGATTACCAAAACTGTTGTCCAGAGGGCTGAGGAAGGGTTGTTGAGGTGGTTCGGACATGTAGAGAGAATGGAGCGAAACAGAGTGACTTCAAGAGTATATCAGTCTGTAGTGGAAGGAAGGCGGGGTAGGGGTCGGCCTAGGAAAGGTTGGAGGGAGGGAGAAAAGGAGGTTTTGTGTGCGAGGGGCTTGGACTTCCAGCAGGCATGTGTGAGCATGTTTGATAGGAGTGAATGGAGACAAATGGTTTTTAATACTTGATGTGCTGTTGGAGTGTGAGCAAAGTAACATTTATGAAGGGGTTCAGGGAAACCGGCAGGCTGGACTTGAGTCCTGGAGATGGGAAGTACAGTGCCTGCACTCTGAAGGAGGGGTGTTAATGTTGCAGTTTAAAAACTAGTGTAAAGCACCCTCCTGGTAAGACAGTGATGGAGTGAATGATGGTGAAAGTTTTTCTTTTTCAGGCCACCCTGCCTTGGTGGGAATCGGCCAGTGTGATAATAATAAAATAATAATTGGATGTGTCTAGTATATCACCTAATGATTGAACGATGAATTACAAATTCTTAATTTTTTAATTTGTAATATTTTTATTTGTTGTTTGGTTTTTAATTTATTAAATGGATTACACACAAAGAGAAAAGTTGAAAATACGTGGGATAAAAGTAGGGAATATTATTATATAAATCAAGGAGAATTTTTTTCTTTAGCAAAAGAACTTAGAGTTAGATGCCATTTAAGGTAGACAATATTGCATAAAAGCTTGGCATGGAAATATTAGCTTTATAAGAGATTTTGATGTATGCATTCCCTCACTTAAGTCAGTTGGTATCTTGGTCAGTTCTCATTCTGCATGCAAAGTGAAGCAGATTTTATTTTGTACATCAGCATCAACAAAATTTCACAAGAAAAGATAAATTGGTTGGGAAAAGTGCAGCTGAATGTTTCTACCAAGAAAGTTATTTCTAAGCCTGGTTATGTTAGTAAAAGGTAGTTATTCAAAGCTCAGAACCATAGATCCTGACTTTCAATTTCCTTTGTTGTAATGGGTGAAGTGAAAAGGATTTAAATAAAACCAGGCAGGTAAGTAAGGTTTTTTCATTGGAGATTCCATTAATTTAATAATAGATAATAAGAATTCGTGGTTTCCTTCTTCCTCAATTCCCTACCATACTACACCTAAAATAGCCTTCTAGAGGGGTACCTTTCTTATGGTGTAAAGTGCTTTTGATCCAAGAAATTGAAGCTGTCCTTCCCCTAATTGGATTAAATCTGATTATATCCATTCCCCAGATGTTGTATGATTCACATGTGGATTTCTTTAGAATAATAATAATGATAATAATTAGTGACAGTAAAAAATAATACAGCAGTTAAAATTTGTAATGGAAGATGAAGTAATTTTGATGGTTTTTAGGAATAAGTAATTTTATGAGATATTTCTTTTCAGGTGTAAGATTCTCCAGAAGTGGCCGAATCCTGAAGGGTAAAGGCCCATTGTTCATGTTGGATCCGAGCTTGGTGGATGGAGATATGGACTGTGATCCTGACTTTAAACCACTTAGGAATGAGATTGGCAAAGAAAATGCAGGTCATCAAAACTCATTTTATAGGAAGAAAAGCAGTAGAAAAAGGAAAAGACATTTACCATCTGCAAATGATTATGACAAGAAATTGAAACTTGCTAATAGCGATGAAAATGGTGGCATGAAGGAAGAAATTATTATTAAAGATGAACCAAGGGATGCAGGTGATGAATTAGCAAATGAAATTACAAATTGGCAGTCAGAGAAATTTAGAGGTATGCATTGCACAGATGAAAAATGTGTTAAAAAGCTAGAAGAGGGAACTACAAAGCTCACCTGTCGGAAATGCAAGAAAAATTTCCCATCATTTTCAAAATTCCAACAACATTCTAAAGAGAAACACAATTCCACAGAGTTTACATTCCCATGTAATTTATGTGGTGTTCTATTTACCAGACCCCATAACTTGGAGCGTCATAAAGGTACAAAACACGATTCTAAAAAGCAGTTTGTTTGTGAACATTGTGGCCATACATTTGGACGTCTAGATGTACTCTTGGTTCACATTTCAATGGTTCATGTAAAGAAGAACTTGCAAGATAAAAATGGGCCTTCGGATGTTAAACCAGATATGTTACATTGTACCAGTTGTGACAAATTTTTCTCCAAACAACATAAATTAAGGCAACATACACAGGGAAATTTAACATGTAGTGACTGTTCAGCATCCTTTAATTGTAAAACATCTCTAAGAATACATAAATATAATCAACACCCAATTGAGTGTGATGAGTGTGGGAAGGTGTGTGATAGTAAGCATAAACTATATTTTCATCGGGTATCTCATGCACCCAAGTACGTGTGTAAGTTTTGCAACAAAGGATTTTTAAGGAAGTCCGAGTACACTGTGCACATTTCAACACACACTGGTGAAAAGCCTATCATATGTGATATTTGTGGCAAGTCATTTGCTCACAAACTTGCTGTAGGTAAACATAAAAGACAGTCACACAATGAAAGCCACAAAAAGCTTAAGTGTGAGATCTGTAATAAATCCTTTGCATATAAAGGGAAACTGGAGATGCATATGAGAACCCACACTGGAGAAAAGCCATTCTTGTGTCACCACTGCCCTTCTACCTTCTCTCAACAGTGTAATTTGACAGCACATATAAAGAGTGTTCATGGAGTTTACATTCATTCACTGAAAAGTGATGGAACACAACAAACTAAGCTTGTGAAATATAAACGTGTCAAGAGAAAGGGAGAAATGGAGCTTCCACTAACTGTGGTACACACTGAGAAAACCCCAAAGGTTGTAAGTCGTATTCCAAGACGGTGTGAGGTTATTGTTGAGGAACAAGTACATGTGTCTGAGTCATCTGAAATAGAAGCAGCTGTTCATCAAATTGTAAGTTCTCAATAATGTCAACACTGTGTTTATTCTTTCTACTAACAAGTTACAAATGTATGAATGTCTTAAGTGGCTCATATTTTGACAGCTTTATCTCTCTTACTTTTTCTGTGCAATAAATGTAAAAATTGTTAAGGATTTCTTATTTACCTGGAGTCATTGTGAATGTATTATGAAACAGCTTTATTTGAAAATAACCTCATCCTTCAAGAAAGGGAATCCTCTTGATACCATTACAGGGCTCTTGTTCCATGGAATAGAAGCTGTCCTTTCTCTTGGATCAAACCTGATTACCTTCTATTCCCCAGACACTGTACAGAACCCCATTTATAAAGCAGGTTAGGTTCCGGGCTACTGCTGTAAAGCAGGCTGGGTTCCGGGCTACTGCTGTAAAGCAGGCTGGGTCCCGGGATACTGCTGTGAAGCCCGTTAAGTTCCAGGCTACTGCTATAAAGCGAAACAACCTTTCTTTTACTTTCAAATGCATATAAAAGCCAGAAAACATGTTTACACTATCATATATTGAGTGAGCAATAGATTATTATTATAATCAAAAAGAAGCGCTAAGCCACAAGGACTATACAGCAGTGAGCAATAGAACTAGGCCTAAAAATGCATGTACAGTACACACATTACTTACCTCAATATATTTTCATCCTTAGCTTATGAGTGGTGAATATATTTATTGTGGGAAGTCTGAATAAATGAAGAATGGGTATAATTGAAAACTGCTGCATTAGCAAAATGCTGTAAAGTGCTTGTATACATACTCTTTGTGGGTTTAACACTTCATGAAAATAAATAGTAATGTAATAATAGTTATGGAAACCTACAAAATTTATGTTTTTTAAATGTCAAATAGGATATAAAACATTATAAGTGTTAACTCTGAATATAGTTGAATTGTTTCTTAAAATCATGGATTGCGAGTGCATTATTTGTCGTAAAATTAACACTGGCTCGTTCAGTGCTATTGGACTGTCTCCCACAAAGATTAATTAAGCTACAATAAACCTTTCAAATGGAGAAGTTCAGTGATGAGTTGATTTAAGGAATTGGAGCTATCCTCATTTTCTTCAGATTAAACTAAGTTATCACCTCCCGTTCCTCAGGTTCTATGTGGTCCCCTCAGGGAAGGTTCCTTGATGCTGGTGAGGGGCTCTTGATCTAAGGAATTAGGCCTCTTTCCCTGGTATCAAAGCTGATTGCCTTCTGTTCACTGAGGCTCTATGACCCCTGTGGGTTACGTTTTCTCACCATATACAATAATTTCTGTGCTGTATGACCCTTGTGGGTGTAGTGCTTAGTTTTGGTGGTAATAATCGACCCTTATGGGTTAAGTGCTTCTCTATGGTTATATGTGATAATTGTGAGACATCAAGGGCTGCTTTATGAACCCTTCAGGTATAGCACTATCTCCCATCCTATGCCCCTTTCAGGGAGGTTCCTTGATGCTGGTGAGGGACTCTTGATCTAGGGAATTAGATCAATGCTCCAGTTCCCTGAATTGAGCCTGAATACCTTCCATCCCCTCCCCCACATGCGCTGTATAATCCTCTGGGTTTAGCGCTCCCACATGGTTATAATATTATAATCCCATCCTATGTTAAAGTGGGTAAAAATGTTATGGAGGGAGTAGTAGGTATATTTGGGGTGCCAGGGGTAAATGTAAATGGGGAGCCTTTAATTGAGCTATGTGTAGAAAGAGATTTGGTAATAAGTAATATATATTTTATGAAAAAGAGGATAAATAAATATACAAGGTATGATGTAGCACGTAATGAAAGTAGTTTATTAGATTATGTATTGGTGGATAAAAGGTTGATGGGTAGGCTCCAGGATGTACATGTTTATAGAGGGGCAACTGATATATCAGATCATTATTTAGTTGTAGCTACAGTTAGAGTAAGAGGTAGATGGGAAAAGAGGAAGGTGGCAACAACAAGTAAGAGGGAGGTGAAAGTGTATAAACTAAGGGAGGAGGAAGTTCGGGTGAGATACAAGCGTCTATTGGCAGAAAGGTGGGCTAGTGCAAAGATGAGTAGTGGGGGGGTTGAAGAGGGTTTGAATAGTTTTAAAAATGCAGTATTAGAATGTGGGGCAGAAGTTTGTGGTTATAGGAGGGTGGCAGCAGGAGGAAAGAGGAGTGATTGGTGGAATAATGAAGTAAAGGGTGTGATAAAAGAGAAAAAAGTAGCTTATGAGAGGTTTTTACAAAGCAGCAGTGCTATAAGAAGAGCAGAGTATATGGAGAGTAAAAGAAAGGTAAAGAGAGTGGTGAGAGAGTGCAAAAGGAGAGCAGATGATAGAGTGGGAGAGGCACTGTCAAGAAATTTTAATGAAAATAAGAAAAAATTTTGGAGTGAGTTAAACAAGTTAAGAAAGCCTAGGGAAAGTATGGATTTGTCCGTTAAAAACAGAGTAGGGGAGTTAGTAGATGGGGAGATGGAGGTATTAGGTAGATGGCGAGAATATTTTGAGGAACTTTTAAATGTTAAGGAAGAACGAGAGGCAGTAATTTCATGCACTGGTCAGGGAGGTATACCATCTTTTAGGAGTGAAGAAGAGCAGAGTGTAAATGTGGGGGAGGTACATGAGGCATTACATAGAATGAAAGGGGGTAAAGCAGCTGGAACTGATGGGATCATGACAGAAATGTTAAAAGCAGGGGATGATATAGTGTTGGAGTGGTTGGTACTTTTGTTTAATAAATGTATGAAAGAGGGGAAGGTACCTAGGGATTGGCGGAGAGCATGTATAGTCCCTTTATATAAAGGGAAAGGGGACAAAAGAGACTGTAAAAATTATAGAGGAATAAGTTCACTGAGTATACCAGGAAAAGTGTACGGTAGGGTTATAATTGAAAGAATTAGAGGTAAGACAGAATGTAGGATTGCGGATGAGCAAGGAGGTTTCAGAGTGGGTAGGGGATGTGTAGATCAAGTGTTTACATTGAAGCATATGTGAACAGTATTTAGATAAAGGTAGGGAAGTTTTTATTGCATGTATGGATTTAGAAAAGGCATATGATAGAGTGGACAGAGGAGCAATGTGGCAGATGTTGCAAGTATATGGAATAGGTGGTAAGTCATTAAACGCTGTAAAGAGTTTTTATGAGGATAGTGAGGCTCAGGTTAGGGTGTGTAGAAGAGAAGGAGACTACTTCCCAGTAAAAGTAGGTCTTAGACAGGGATGTGTATCTATAAATATATTAAACAACCATGGTGACCATGGTTGTTTAATATATTTATAGATGGGGTTGTAAAGGAAGTAAATGCTAGGGTGTTCGGAAGAGGGGTGGGATTAAATTTTGGGGAATCAAATTCAAAATGGGAATTGACACAGTTACTTTTTGCTGATGATACTGTGCTTATGGGAGATTCTAAAGAAAAATTGCAAAGGTTAGTGGATGAGTTTGGGAATGTGTGTAAAGGTAGAAAGTTGAAAGTGAACATAGAAAAGAGTAAGGTGATGAGGGTATCAAATGATTTAGGGAGGAGGAGTATGGAAGAAGTGAATGTTTTCAGATACTACTTGGGAGTTGACATGTCGGTGGATGGATTTATGAAGGATGAGGTTAAACATAGAATTGATGAGGGAAAAAAAGTGAGTGGTGCGTTGAGGTATATGTGGAGTCAAAAAACGTTATCTATGGAGGCAAAGAAGGGAATGTATGAAAGTATAGTAGTACCAACACTCTTATATGGGTGTGAAGCTTGGGTGGTAAATGCAGCAGCGAGGAGACGGAGGCAGTGGAGATGTCCTGTTTAAGGGCAATGTGTGGTGTAAATATTATGCAGAAAATTCGGAGTGTGGAAATTAGGAAAAGGTGTGGAGTTAATAAAAGTATTAGTCAGAGGGCAGAAGAGGGGTTGTTGAGGTGGTTTGGTCATTTAGAGAGAATGGATCAAAGTAGAATGACATGGAAAGCATATAAATCTATAGGGGAAGGAAGGCGGGGTAGGGGTCGTCCTCGAAAGGGTTGGAGAGAGGGGGTAAAGGAGGTTTTGTGGGCGAGGGGCTTGGACTTCCAGCAAGTGTGCGTGAGCGTGTTAGATAGGAGTGAATGGAGACGAATGGTACTTGGGACCTGACGATCTGTTGGAGTGTGAGCAGGGTAATATTTAGTGAAGGGATTCAGGGAAACCGATTATTTTCATATAGTCGGACTTGAGTCCTGGAAATGGGAAGTACAATGCCTGCACTTTAAAGGAGGGGTTTGGGATATTGGCAGTTTGGAGGGATATGTTGTGTATCTTTATATGTGTATGCTTCTAAACTGTTGTATTCTGAGCACCTCTGCAAAAACAGTGATAATGTGTGAGTGTGGTGAAAGTGTTGAATGATGATGAAAGTATTTTCTTTTTGGGGATTTTCTTTCTTTTTTGGGTCACCCTGCCTCGGTGGGAGACGGCCGACTTGTTGAAAAAAAAAATTATAATAATTATCAGTGGTGGTACCATGGGGAGCAGAATGGGTTGTATCTCCTGTCCCAGAACTTTGATTAACTACTAAATATATTTATAATTTACTTGACTGTGCTTGAACTAGAGCTTTTTGGCATTGATTTATGATTTCGTTACAACTGCCCATAATGGAGAACTTGAAAAATTAGACATGTGTGCAACATCTGGGTATCTTAATGTTGCACGTGTCTAATTTTCCAACTTGTTGGTATTGCATACCGTTCATGTACATTGGAGAACTTGCTCTGGGTAGGAGTCGGACATTAATGATGGGGACCACTGATGACTCCCCAAAGGAAGGAGGACTGTCCTGATCCTCCCGTCAAGGAAGGTTCCTTGATTCTAGTGAGGGGCTCTTGAACTGAAGGATTGGACCTGTATTTGAGCCTATATGCCTTCCATTCCCCAGGCACTGCCCGAAATGCATGATAGTGGCTTTCTCTGTACTTAAATCAAAATTGTAATTACACATTGTAACCTTTGCAAAGAAATAAAATCTTTATTCTTTTATTCTTTACTGCATGACCCCTCCAAGTTTAGCACTCCCCCATAAATATAATAACTTTCTGGTTGTGTTTTTTATCTTAGGAATTGGAATTACCAAGCTCAGAACTCTTTCCTTACTTTGTTATATATGTAAATATTACTAGCAATGCTCTGCATTACCAGTGACTTTCTATAAAGTGTGCCTGTGTCAACTAGCTCTATATCAAGTGCACAGCATTGTATGGCTGGTGGGTTTAGTGCTTAGTTTTGATTATAATAATCTACAATAATTGTATACGGTACGTACTTGTAAGAAATATAATTATCGTTATCTATTAGATAGGTCTTTTATTACAAAAGCGCAGGTGACAGGTCCTTAGCTTCGAACTAGAGACCAATAAGCCTAACCTCCATAGTGGGAAAATTTATGGAATCAATAATTGCCGAGGCAGTTCGTAGCCACCTTGAAAAGCATAAATTAATCAACGAATCTCAGCATGGTTTTACAAAGGGGCGTTCCTGCCTTACGAATTTACTAACTTTTTTCACTAACGTATTTGAGGAGGTAGATCATGGTAATGAATATGACATTGTGTGTATGGACTTCAGTAAGGCTTTTGACGGGGTCCCACATCAGAGACTATTCAGGAAAATTAAGGCACATGGAATAGGAGGAGAAATTTTTTCCTGGATAGAGGCATGGTTGACAAATAGGAAGCAGAGAGTTTGCATAAATGGGGAGAAATCAGAGTGGGGAAGCGTCACGAGCGGTGTTCCACAGGGGTCAGTGTTGGACCCTCTGCTGTTCACAATCTACATAAACGACATAGATGAGGGCATAAAAAGCGACATCAGCAAGTTTGCCGATGACACCAAAATAGGCCGTCGAATTCATTCTGACGAGGACATTAGAGCACTCCAGGAAGATTTGAATAGACTGATGCAGTGGTTGGAGAAGTGGCAGATGCAGTTTAATATGCCTAGCCATGCTAGGCGTTCTAGTGGTACACTCTGTAATCATTATTTAACTACATGTAAACCACACAACAACCAAATTCTGTAAATTCAACATTGTAATCTTTATAGAGAATAAACTTTGAATTTGAATTTGAATTTGAAATGCAAAGTTCTAAATGTTGGACAGGACAATAACCATGCCACATATAAACTAAATAATGTAGATCTTAATATTACGGATTGCGAAAAAGATTTGGGAGTTCTGGTTAGCAGTAATCTGAAACCAAGACAACAGTGCATAAGTGTTCGCAATAAAGCTAATAGAATCCTTGGCTTCATATCAAGAAGCATAAATAATAGGAGTCCTCAGGTTGTTCTTCAACTCTATACATCCTTGGTTAGGCCTCATTTAGATTATGCTGCACAGTTTTGGTCACCGTATTACAGAATGGATATAAATGCTCTGGAAAATGTACAAAGGAGGATGACAAAGTTGATCCCATGTATCAGAAACCTTCCCTATGAAGATAGACTAAGGGCCCTGAATCTGCACTCTCTAGAAAGACGTAGAATTAGGGGGGATATGATTGAGGTGTATAAATGGAAGACAGGACTCGCAGCAATGGTTTTAAGTTGGAAAAATTCAGATTCAGGAAGGATACAGGAAAGTACTGGTTTGGTAATAGAGTTGTAAATGAGTGGAACAAACTCCCAAGTACAGTTATAGAGGCCAGAACGTTGTGTAGCTTTAAAAATAGGTTGGATAAATACATGAGTGGATGTGGGTGGGTGTGAGTTGGACCTGATAGCTTGTGCTACCAGGTCGGTTGCCGTGTTCCTCCCTTAAGTCAATGTGACCTGACCTGACTAGGTTGGGTGCATTGGCTTAAGCCGGTAGGAGACTTGGACCTGCCTCGCATGGGCCAGTAGGCCTGTTGCAGTGTTCCTTCGTTCTTATGTTCTTATGATCTATCTGGGTTTAGCGCTTTTACCTTAATATTATAATACTCATTAACATTACACTATACGATATTCAGTGGTGCTGTGCATCCTATGGGCTTTCTGATCATTGTATATTTTGATAAGTGTTTTAAGAAGAAAAAAAAATGTTAATTTTTCAATAATCCATCTCTCTGGTTGTGTTTATGACACTAACCGACACCAACCACACAAGAGTGAAAAACTAACGTCAAAGACCTGGGAGTGATCATGTCAGAGGATCTCACCTTCAAGGACCATAACATTGTATCAACTGCATCTGCTAGAAAAATGACAGGATGGATAATGAGAACCTTCAAAACTAGGGATGCCAAGCCCATGAAGACACTCTTCAGGTCGCTTGTTCTATCTAGGCTGGAATATTGCTGCACACTAACAGCACCTTTCAAGGCAAGTGAAATTGCTGACCTAGAAAATGTACAGAGAACCTTCACGGCACGCATAACGGAGATAAAACACCTCAATTATTGGGAGCGCTTGAGGTTCCTGAACCTGTATTCCCTGGAATGCAGGAGGGAGAGATACATGATTATATACACCTGGAAAATTCTTGAGAGACTAGTACCAAACTTGCACATGAAAATCATTCCCTACAAAAGCAGACTTGGCAGACGATGCAACATCCCCCCAATGAAAAGTAGGGGTGCCACAAGCACGTTAAGAGACAACACAATAAGTGTCAGGGGCCCGAGACTGTTCAACTGCCTCCCAGCATACATAAGGGGGATTACTAATAGACCCCTGACTGCCTTCAAGCAGGCACTGGACAAGCACCTAAAGTCAGTACCTGACCAGCCGGGCTGTGGTTCGTACTTTGGATTGCGTGCAGCCAGCAGTAACAACCTGGTTGATCAGGCCCTGATCCACCATGAGGCCTGGTCAGAGACCGGGCCACGAGGGCGTTGACTCCTGGAACTCTCTCCAGGTAAACTCCAGGTAAACATGCTTCATAAAAAAGTTTAACCGACCTGACAGAAGCTTTATAAAAAAGTATAACCGACCTGACAGAAGCCCCGCAATGCCCCGGCACGATAGTGGCTTTCTTTGTACTTAACAAATCAAAATTGCAAATCCTGTACACGTTGTAACCTTGCAAAGAAATAAAATCTTTATCTTTTGGGTGTCAGTGGACTGGTGTGGATTACTTCCTGGGGAAACAAGATTAAGAAATAAGTAAGTTTATTCAGGTATACACAAACAGTTATTATAGGTTACCATACATAGCACCATATGTGTAGAGAACCTAGGATAACCCAAAAATAAAAGTCAGACAGAGTGACTTATTTCCCCATTGGACAAAAAACTGTCCCTCGATGACACATCGCCTTTTATTGGGTTATCCCGGGTGGCTAACCCTCCAGGATTAAAAATCCGAACAAAATTTTTTTCTCTCTCTCTTAACCAAGCTGATAACCTTTATAACCGACTTGACAGAAGCTTTATAAAGAAGTATAACCGAGCTGACAAACTTTATAAAAAAGTATAACCGATCTGCCTCAAGTTTTGTAAACAAAAGTCAACAATTCTGAAAGGTAGAAGCTTGGTCACTCGTGCGAGTTTAGCGTTTCTTTTCCAATATAATAGTAATGACGAAAGACAGAAGATGACGAGGAAAGAAGACTTTATTTAGATTGTTAACTAACCAATGTGGCTACTTTCGATGAGGGTTCTTACTAGGTCCTCCCCAGGTTGTCACCCACAAGTAGACTTAAGTACCAGGTATCTATTTACTATTTATTCACTACACTTGTGGGTTTAACGCTTAGTTTTGATTGTGATAATTATACAATGTTCACTTCTAGCCTTTTAAGTGAGGTGTCTTGTGGCACTGAAGGGCTCTTGATCCAAACCCCTCAAGGGAGGTTCCTTGACGCTGGTAATGGGCTCTTGATCTAGGGAATTGGATCTGTGCTCCAGTTCCCTGAATTAAGTCTGAATACCTTCCATCCCTCCTCCCCCCCCAGGCACTGTATAATACCTATGGGTTTAGTGCTCCCCCACTATAATAATAATAATCTTGAACCAAAGAATAAAAGCTACCTTAAGTGTTCTCAGGTCGAGTCTTATTACCTCTTTTTTCCCAAGGTGTCTTGATTTTTTTTTATTAGGTTAAGATAAGATTTGATGGGATTTTTAACCCGCAGGGTTAACCACCCAGGATAACCCAAGAAACTTGATGCATCATTGAGGACTGTTTGTCTTATTTCCGCTGGGGTCCTTCAAGGTTTCCCAGGATGCAACCCACACCAGTAATCTAACACTCAGGTACCTACTTACTGCTAGGCGAACAGGAACAGCAGGTGTGAGGAAACATACCTGGGATTGAACCACAAACAGTGTGTGAGGCGAGTGCCACAGGTTATCCTAAGTAATTTACACATATTACTTTGTATGATAATTGCACTTATGCATACCTGTACCTAAATAAACATACTTTCCTACATCTCCTATAGGTTTAGCATGTCCCCTTTCATAACGTAAAAAATATATTTTCTACAAAGTAACAAAAGATGTTAGGAGACTTGTTCATACATCTCACACTGTAGTATAGTTCAACCCCAATGTTAAACTTTTAAGGTTATAATCATAATTGATTTCTATTGTAACTTACTGCTAGGCTTTAATTTGTAAGATATTAGAAGAACCTCAATAAAAATAAGCCACTTTTGTTTGACTCTTTTTTTGGGTTATCCTAGGTAATTTATACATATGTTACTATGTATGATAATTGTACTTATGTAGACTCATGGGTGTGATCCATACATGGTAACCATATGTTTTTATGATGATTGGTGATGATATATTAATTGATTTGTGGTGGAGCATTTCTACCAGGTATAAAAAATTATAGGACTGCAGGTCTATGCTAGGCAGATCTTACTGACAAATACCAATTCTCACTCATGTATTTGTCTAACTTATTTTTGAACCTAGCCAAAGGGCTCATGATTATTTTGGCATGAATTCTGGAATTGCTGAAGTTCCCTCAGTTTTGTGTGATAGTGCTTAAATTAAATTTATTGTGGGGGTGCATCCTGGGAAAGGAAGCAGTAGTATATCTTCAATAGGTGAGAACTGATCAGGGATGGGGTGAAATGTACAGATTTATGTACTGTAATCTTAAAAAATAAAATTCAAATGTAGATATTTATATTTGGAAATCCTCAATAACAAATGAAATGCAGATACAAAAGTTACAAATAGTAAATTATCAAACTCTGTCTTAGATATTTTCTGCTCTTTATATCATATTTTTTCCTATTTTTCCATTTACATACGGTGGACCCTCAGTTATTGGCTGTAATCCATTCCAGAAGGTTGGCCTAAAACAGAAATGGCTGAAAATTGAAATAATATTTCCCATAAGAATTAATATAAATTTCCAAGACTGTAGGCATACTATCGAAGATACGGTACTATGCTCCACAGTCAGCCCTCCTGGCCCTATATCACTCTCTTATTTACCCCTATCTCACCTATGGAATTTGTGCATGGGGCTCAACAACAAGTAACCATCTCAGACCACTAATTACCCAACAAAAGGCTGCAGTTAGAATGATAACAAATTCTCACTACAGGGAGCACACTCCACCAATATTCAATACACTCAACCTACTCACCATACAAAACATCCATACTTATTACTGCACCTATTACATACATAGAACACTCAACTCTGATATTAACCCTCCCCTCAAACATCTCCTTGCCAACCTCAACAGAACACATGACCATAACACAAGGCACAGATCACTCTTTGATATTCCTCGTGTCCATCTCACGCTATGCAAAAACTCAATGCACATAAAAGGCCCTAAAATCTGGAATTCATTACCTGTAAATATAAAAGAAACACTACCTGTTTATAAATTCAAGTCTCTTCTCAAAGATCACTTACTCACCCAAAACCAAATAAATACTGAATAACTGAACCTTATAAATTGTATATCTTAAATGTTTCTCACAATTATATCACATAAATGTTAAACCTAAAACCCAATCTAACTTTATTATTTTTTAAATACACTACCTAACAGAATACTCCATTCTACTGAATTTATAACAATGCATGCAACCATATGACCTGTCTTTGTAATACTCACTTGTGCTTTATAGTAATCAGTTTACATTAATGTTTTTCACTGATTTCATCATTGCTTAGTTAATCTTAAGTTAATTTTAAGCCAGCCCGTAATGCTATGCATAGTATAAGTGGCTTTGGCATGCTGCTCTTATCTGTATTTTTTTTGTACCTCTGTAAGTGTGCTCAAATTATAAATAAATAAATAAAAAATAAATAAATCTGCTCCAGATACCCAAAAATATTCACAAAAAATACATTATTTTAAGATTAATTGTAGTTTTACATACAGAAAACAATGAGAACTAAATCAAATAAATACATGAACAATTAAATCACTATTACATACCATTATTGAAGAGAGGGAGGAGGAGAGAGGGAGTTGGGGTTATTGTTTGGAAGGGGAATCCCCCTCCAAAAGGACTTCAGGTAACAAATCCCTTTCTGGGGTTACTTCCCTTCTTTGTTTTTTTAATGCCACTAGGACCAGCTTGAGAGTCACTGGAACCCTGTTGCACAAAATAACTGTCCAGAGTGCTCTATTTCTGGTGTCTCTCTAAGATTTCCCTGAAGTGGGACAAGGTTTTGCCACTGAACATGTTTTAGATATGGCTTGTTTTAGCTTGGTCAGGGTGATACTTTTCAACAAAACTTTGCAACTCATTCCACTTTACACACACATCCTTAATCACTAAAGAAGGCACTTTTTCCCCTCTCTCTTCCTCCTCTGAAGCAATTTCCTCAGCTGCAGTCTGTTGCTGTTCAAGTTGAAGATCTTGCAGCTCTTCAGTGGTTAGCTCTTCCCTGTGGTCCTCCACCAACTCTTCCACATCCTTGCCATTCACATCCAACCCCATGGACTTCCCAAGTATACCTGGAGTATAACTGGAGAGAGTTCTGGGGTTCAACACCCCCACGGTCTGGTCTGTGACCAGGCCTCATGGTGGATCAGGGCTTGATCCAACGTACGAACCACAGCCTGGCTGGTCAGGTACTGACTTTAGGTGCCTGTCCAGTGCCTGCTTAAAGACAGCCAGGAGTCTATTGGTAATCCCCCTGATGTATGTTGGGAGGTAGTTGAACAGTCTTGGGCCCCTGACACTTATTGTGTTGTCTCTTATCATGCTAGTGGCGCCCCCGCTTTTCATTGGGGGGGGGGATGTTTCATCATCTGCTGAGTCTTTTGCTTTCGTAGGAAGTGATTTTCATGTGCAAGTTTGGTACTAGTCCCTCTAGGATTTTCCAGGTGTATATAATCATCTATCTCTCCCGCCTGCATTCTAAGCAGTACAAGTTCACTAAATTCAAGCAATCCCAGTAATTGAGGTGGTTTATCACAGTTATGTGTGCTGTGAAGGTTCTCTCTACATATTCTAGGTCAGCAGTTTCACCTGCCTTGAAAGGTGCTGTTATTGTGCAGCAATAGATTGCAGCAATAGATTGCCACAATAGATTGCACAACAGGTGTAGGGTCCTCAGGGTCAGCCCCAAACCCTTCAAAATCCCTCTCCTGGACACAATCTGGTCACAATTTTCTCCAAGCAGAGTTGTGTAGAGTTTTTTTGAAGTTAGAAATGACCTGCTGGTCCATGGGCTGAATGAGAGGAGTGGTGTTAGGAGGCAAGAACTTCACTGTTATAAAACTGAAGTCCCTAAACAATTGGTCTTCCAAGTCAGGAGGATGAGCAGGAGCATTGTCCAGTACCAGGAGGCACTTAAGTGGCAATTTCTTTTCCAGGAGGTATTATTTCACACTGGGGCCAAACACATCATTGACCCACTCTTTGAAAATGTGCCTTGTGACCTGTGCTTTATTATTAGCTTTCCACATCACACACAATCTATTATTGATGACATTGTTTTTCTTGAACAGTCTGGGATTTTCAGAGTGATATACCAGTAAAGGCTTCACTCTGAAATCCCCACTAGCATTAGCACAGAACAAAAGAGCAACCCTGTCTTTCATAGGCTTGTTTCCTGACTGTTTTTCCTCCTGCGCAATGTAGGTCCTCTTTGGCATCTTCCAAAAAAGGTCTGTTTTGTCACAATTGAACACTTGTTGGGGAGGAATGCTTCAGCCTCTACATGCCTCTTGAATTCCTGCACAAATTTTTCAGCCACACATTGCAGCCACACTGTGCATGCCACTACACTTCTTAAATCTCTCAAACCAGCCTTTTCTGGCCCTAAATTTATTAACCTCAGCACTTGTTCCAGGCATTTTCTTTGCAAGATCCGCATGCAACTGCCTTTCCTTCTCACAAATCATCAACTCCACAACACTATCTCCCGCTAATTGTTTTTCGGTGATCCACAAAACCAACTTCTCCATACCTTCCATTATCAGTGACCTTTGTTTGGTTAGCATATTTACTCCTTTTGCCACATCAGCTTCCTTGATTTGTTCTTTCTTTGCCAGGATAGAAGTTTTCCCCATACATCCTGGCAAGTTCTAGCACGCGAACACCACTCTCATACTTTTCAACAACTTCTTTCTTTCGAAATATTTCGCCTACACAGTAGGCTTCTTCAGTCGAGTACAGAAAAGTTGATAGAAGAAGAAGAGACGTGAAGACGATGTAATCAGTTCATCACCCTTGAAGTTTTGAGGTGGTCAGTCCCTCAAAACTTCAAGGGTAATGGACTGATTACATCGTCTTCATGTCTCTTCTTCTTCTATCAACTTTTCTGTACTCGACTGAAGAAGCCTACTGTGTATGCGAAACGTTTCGAAATAAAGATACCTAACTGTTGCATATGTGTCTTTCCTAACAACTTCTTTCTTAAATTCCATCGTGTTTCCCACTTTCTTTAGCATAGAAACTTTACCAGGAACTTTCTTTGGGGCCATGGTTACTTATTTCCCAGTTGCACTTAATCGATAACCATGAAAATCAATCAGTTATAGCAAAATGTTTGGATGAATGAGCAGGAGCTTCCTCACTTGCACAGAGAGAAAGCCAGACTGACACAATCGCAGCTGGCGGCGGCGGGTTGACACGTACCATATGGTCGATAAGCGAAATAACAGCCGATAACCGGAAGCCGAAAAAACGGTCGATAAGCGAGTTGGCCAATAAGTGGAACAGCCGATAACCGAGGGTCCACTGTACTTAAGTCATGTTTCCCCAATTTCTGTCTTTTATACAATTAATATCACTGGGTTACCAGCAGATATCAGAAATATGACCAGAACCTATGTAAAAGTTTTCAAGAAGAAACTGTACCACTACCTCCATAGTGTGCCAGATTAACCAGGCTGTGATGGATGTGTGGGCCAGTGGGCTGCCAACAGCAACAGTCTTATCAACAAAGCATTCAACAAGGAGGTCTCGCCATAGGCAGAGCCACGAGAGTAGGAAAACTCTCCCGAGTTTACCTGGAGAAGGTTTTGGGGGTCAACGTCCCTGCTGCCCAGTCTGAGACCAGGCCTCATGGTGGATCAGGGTCTGATCAACCAGGCTGTTACTGCTGGCCACATGCACGCTGACGTACGAACCACAGCCTGGTTGGTCAGGTAATGACTTTAGGTGCCTGTCCAGTGCCTTCTTGAAGACAGCCAGGGGTCTGTTGGTAATCCCCCTTATGTATGCTGGGAGGCAACTGAACAGTCTTGGGCCCCGGACACTTATTGTGTTGTCTCTCAGTGTACTTGTGGCGCCCCTGCTTTTCATCGGGGGAATGTTGCATCTCCTGCCAAGTCTTTTGCTTTCATAGGGAGTGATTTTCGTGTGCAGGTTTGGTATCAATCCCTCCAGGACCTTCCAAGTGTATACACATTATCATGTATCTCTCTCGCCTGCATTCGAAGGAATACAGATCAAGGACCTTCAACCGTTCCCAGTAGTTTAGGTGCTTTATCGTACTTATGTGTGCCGTGAAAGTTCTTTGTACACTCTCCAGGTCTGCAATGTCGCCAGCTTTGAAGGAAGCCGTTAGTGTACAGCAGTATTCCAGCCTAGAGAGCACAAGCAATTTGAAGAGAATCATCATGGGCTTGGCATCCCTAGTTTTGAAGGTTCTCAAAAAACATTACAGATAAAAATCACAGGTAAAAAATCTCTTATTGTTTTCTCTCTTTCTTATGTTGTCCTGTATTTACACAGTTAATCCCAAGTACAGCACCATAGTTTCTGTTAGCATTCATAAGTATGTAACTTCGTATTTTTGGTGCATTAAATGCATAGTGTATAGTATGTTAATGTATTTTTCATGTATTTAATATACGTATAATGTATATATTTTTTCAGATTAGGACAGCAAGAGAAACCTGTAATAAGCAACATTCTACATTATATATACCTGAGGAGACTGCATATTATTCTTGCTCTTAAAATGTAGCAGCTAAAATGTCAGAACTTCATCCAGCCCCTAAGGCTCCTGAAATGTCTTCCCAGGCTAAACTTTCTGGGTTGAACATGCCAGACATTCAGCCACAAAGCACTAGCACAGGCATCCCTATTGTCATGAGTGAGGATGTTTACAATGGCTCTCTGGATGGACGTCAGCAGTGTTTTGTTCTTGTTGACGAAAGTACTGTTGGAGTCATGCCTGAGGATTCGACTGTTCAAAGACTGCTGACAGAACAAGAGGCCAGTATGAGTGTTAGCTCTGAGAAAAGGGTTCAAGTAAAGCAGATAGAGAGGGGGAAGACTTTAGAAGTGATGCATGTGGGTAATAAAGAGACAGTTGGAGTAATGCATGTGCAGGATGGAAGAACAGTTGAAGTGTTGCACATGGCTGATGGCAAAACAGTAGAAGTTGTTCAGATGGATGAAGGTAAAACTCTGGAAGTAATGCACATAGATGCAGGTAAACATTCAGAGGTGATTCATGTTGATGGGAGCAGCAGCATTGAGCTTATGAGTGAGAGTGACCCAGTCAAAAGGTCACTTACAACCCAGAGCAGTCATGATTCTACAGCCTTAAGCCTGAGATCATTAGCCCCTGTCAATCCTTCCATAGTATTGTCAACAGGCAAAAACAGTCTGCTTACTGGTCAAGAATTTAGTCGTATGACTTCAACCAATGTTAGCCCAAGCATAGTCTTTTCTGGTAGTAAAGATGTTCTCTCCAGTAGTGTTGATAGCTTGAATAATATGAATAATACTATAATAATATCTTGGTCTTCCATATCACCAGAGATAGAAAATACAAGAGCAACACAGACTGACCCATGCAATGCTTGCGGACCTAGCATGAATCTTTTTTTTTGTACCTTTTTTGTGGATGGCAGTGTGCAAACTCAGTGTGATATGCCGACAAAATGCCATGCAAGTGTGTCAACCATAAGTAGTGCTCAGTGTAGGGTACAGCCTGAACTACGGAATAATGGGGATTATACGGATAGAGACCCATTACCACACAAGATGGAAGCAGAAGAAAGATATGAGTCTGATAGAACAGGTGAGTCTTATACTCTTACAGTGTCGTATTGGGTATCAGTCATAAGTTGGGGTTACATATCTAGGCTTGGAGAAGCTCCACAGTATACAGTATATTATATTTTTTGCATGCATCATTTCAGTTTCTCTGATGTGTACAAAGAGATGCAGTGAATATGAATACCAGTATGTACTCTGTATCTAAATCATTGACTAACATTTTACATAATGCTCATCAGAAATACATGTAGTTTTAAACACACTGCATAAATTAGGCAATGTTCCCAGAAAGAAACTATAAGTAGGTGGTATGGGTGGCGGTAGGGAAGAGGAGGAGCTGTGCCTTTCCAAACTCTCAATCCCAGTTAGGGTCAGAGGGAAGAAAAGCTCCAGGACACATACTGTAGTACCCAAGTTTTTCATGTAACTTAATGTTGTAATGATTCTTTCATGCTAACACTTTCTCAGTTGCATTAATACAAAATTGCACTGTGTGATTTTTGCATAATAGGGTTTACAGTATAAATTAGAGCAAATATACACAAAATTCACATTAAGAGAAAGGAAGAGCCTCAATGCAAGATGTTTAACTTAAAACATCATCAATTTTTCTGAAAATTTTTGAAAAGATTATAGTGGATGTATTATTAGGCTTAAAACTGTACTTAGTAAAATTTAGTTAAGAAATAAATTTTGAGTACAATTCATGACTGGGGTACTGCACTGCCTAGTGATGATATATGAAGTGTTAAAAGCTCTCATGAGTTGAAAATTGTTCTCAATTAATATTTTGGTAATTAGGTGACAATGGGTGTGTGTCAGTTTGCACCACCTAGTAAGCTTAGTACTGTACTAAGAAGTACAGTAGCCTAGTAATACAAAATGATAACTTCTAAAACATAAGTTTGTTGAATGTTATGACTTACAATATTTAAATCAGTGTGAAAATAACAATTTCTTGTCTTGTGTTCACTTTTGACTATTATGAATGACCTTGACCTCTTCATGTCCTGTTATTTCAGGTATTTTCTGTAGTGCATCTAAATTGTTAAAAAAACAGCTTTGAGTTTTAATGAAATTTGACTGATGGCAATGAAGAAAGAACATATTTAATTGTGGTGTAAGCAGGTCAAAAGTACAGGATAGTTAAGATAATTCATTTTTGTTTTGAAAGGACTGACTTCAAGGAATCTAATCAAATCTTGAAGGTAATTGAATAATTTTCATGGAGGATGGTAAGATGATCTTACATGGAGATTTGTGAACTTTGATGGTTAACACTTCTATTGGGTAGCTCCTTTTTTGTAGTCCACCACAAAATTCCTGTACCAGATTTCTCCAACAGTAGGCCTATAATTCAAAAGTCTTATGTGCATAGGAATGTAAAAATTTTTGAAAAGCCCGAAATGCCCCAGCATGATAGTGACTTTCTATGTACCTAATAAATCAAAATTGTAATCACACATTGTAAACATTGCAAAGTAATAAAAATCTTTATCTTTGTTGCAGATCCAAGATTCTCCAAAAGTGGCAGAATCCTGAAAGGCAAAGATCCATTGTTCAAACTGAATTCAGGCTTAATGGATGGAGACCAAGACTGTGATCCTGACTTTGAACTACAAGGAGATGAGAACGATGAAGAAAATACTGGTCATCAAAGTTTAGCTTACAGAAAGAAAAGAGGAAGAAAAAGAAAAAGACGTCTCCCATCACCAGATGATTTTGACGAAGAATTGGCACTTGTCAACGGTGTTGAAACTGATGGCATAAAGACAGAATCTATAATAAAAGAAGAGCCAGTAGATGCAGACGATGATGAATTAGCTATGGAAATCTTGAAAACAAAAGGATATGGATTAAGAACAAAACGACGCCCAAAGAAACTGAGTGATATGCACTATATGGAGGAAAAGGTAATTAAAAAGAGGATTGAGAGAAGTCAAGAATTTTCCTGTCAAATGTGCAAAAAAATATTCCCAACATTTTCACGACTTCAAAGGCATGCCAAAGATGAACATGACTCTACAGAATTTGCATTCCCGTGTGATCTGTGTGGTGTTGTGTTTACAAGACCCCATAATTTAGAACGCCATAAAGACACGAAACATGGTGATGGTGAACGGCGTTTTGTTTGTGAACACTGCGGACGAAGGTTTGGGCGTCAAGATGTACTGTCAGTACATATTTCAATGGTTCATTTTAAAAAGACCTTACAAGGTAAAAAAGGGCCTTCAATACTTGGACCTAACACTGTACACTGTACTAGTTGTGACAAATTTTTTTCCAAAGAACAAAAATTAAGGGAGCATAGACAAGGAAATTTAACATGCAACGACTGTTCAATTTCATTTGAATGTAAGACATCCTTAAGGATACATCAGTACAAGCACCATCCAACGGCTTGCAATGAGTGTGGGAAAGTTTGTGATAGTAAGCAACAGATGTATTTTCACCGTTTATCTCATGCTCCCAAGTTTGTGTGTAAGTATTGTAACAAAGGGTTTTTGTGGAAATCTCAATACACTGTTCATATGGCAACACACACTGGTGAGAAGAATGTCCTCTGTGATATTTGTGGTAAATCCTTTGCTCACAAACTTGCGGTGAGTAAGCATAAGTGGCAGGAGCACAATGAAAGCAATAAAAAATTTAAGTGCCCAACGTGTGGTAAATCTTTTGTATATAAGGGGAAATTACAGTCACATGTGCGAAGTCACACTGGAGAGAAACCATTTATGTGTCATCTCTGCCCTTCTACCTTCTCTCAGCGATGTAATCTAACAGCACACATAAAGAGTGTCCATGGTGTGTACATTCAGTCCATCAAGAGTGATGGAACAACTCATACTCAACTTGTGAAATATAAACGTGCTAAGAAAGTGGCACCGACTGAGCCACCACCCGCTGTGGTGAACACTGTGATAGCCCCACCAGATGAACCTCCCACTACTGATCAGCCCCAAGTTGCTATTCAGGAGCAAGTACAAATGTCTGAATCATTTGAAACAGAAGCAGCTGTTTATCAGATTGTATATGCTTATCCACAATAGTCAGTGGCTAGCCCATATAGTTCACTTCTTTGACTGGTAAACTAAAATTCAACTAAATGTTATGGCTTGCTCACATTTTGAAAGTTGCTAACAGTACAGTATCAGTATCTCTCTGTTTTGTACAGTATTTTATACTTGTAACATATATTTGACAGTAATTTATATGTTCATAATATTTCTTTAGTGGATGGAGACAAGAACCTACCAAAACAAAATTAAGAGTAATTTTTATAAAATGTTTAAAATAAAATTTGCACTTGTTTCTTGGATGATTTTTATGTTCACAAATTTTTTGTTAATTATGACATATTTAAATTGAAATAAAGAAGCATGGCATATTTGTCTTCCACTTGGTTGGAGTGTTGCAGTAGAAGGTGTGCTTGTCTACCTCCATCCTTGATAACGCAACTCAATGACACACATGGATTTAGTGTTTTTTTTTTTTTATATATTTTTAAACACATTGGCTGTCTCCCACTGTGGCAGTGCATAGGGTATCTACATGCTGAACTGATTCTCTTCACTGCAACTGATAATCTATTTGTTCTATATTCATTGTGCATTTGTTAAGCTTTCTTCTGTTTCATATTAGAAATGGTTTTTTCCGTAGCTTGATCTCAGCACAGTAACAGACCAGCACAGTAACAGGCCAGCACAGTAACAGGCCAGCACAGTAACAGGCCAGCACAGTAACAGGCCAGCACAGTCTCATCGTTATGACTCGTGGAGATGTTTAGATTAAAAATAAAGACAAACATAAACTCAAAATACAGGACAGTACACTAAAGTATAAAATACAGTACACAGCCAAGATCTTATGCATTGAAAAATGTGTGAAAGTTGAGAAATTAGGATCTTGTAACAAGTGTGTTGTACATGTATACTATAATGTTTCCTGTAGACAAGTAGGTAGTAGGTTGGTAGACAGCAACCACCCAGGGAAGTACTACCGTCCTGCCAGATGACTGTGAAACAAAAACCTGTAACTGTTTTGCATGATGGTAGGATTGCTGGTTTTTTTTTCTGTCTCATAAACACGCTAAGATAACAGGGATATCTTGCTACTCCTACTTACACTTTGGTCACACTTCACAGACACGCACATGCATATATATATATACATACATCTAGGTTTTTCTCCTTTTTCTAAATAGCTCTTGTTCTTTTTTATTTCTTCTATTGTCCATGGGAAGTGGAAAAAGAATCTTTCCTCCGTAAGCCATGCGTGTCGTATGAGGCGACTAAAATGCCGGGAGCAAATGGGCTAGTAAAACCCTTCTCCTGTATACAATTACTAAAAAAGAGAAGAAGAAAAACTTTATAAAACTGGTTGCTTAATGTGCTGGATGTAGTGCGGATGACAAGAAACAGATGATTGCTGATGTTATGAATAAAAGAAGTTGATGTCCTGGCCCTAAGCGAAACAAAGCTGAGGGGTAGGAGAGTTTCAGTGGGGGAAATAAATGGGATTAAATCTGGAGTATCTGAGAGAGTTAGAGCAAAGGAAGGGGTAGCAGTAATGTTAAATGATCAGTTATGGAAGGAAAAAGAGAATATGAATGTGTAAATTCAAGAATTATGTGGATTAACGTAAAGGTTGGATGCAAGAAGTGGGTCATAATAAGCGTGTATGCACCTGGAGAAGAGAGGAATGCAGAGGAGAGAGAGAGATTTTGGGAGATGTTAAGTGAATGTATAGGAGCCTTTGAACCAAGTGAGAGAGTAATTGTGTAGGGGACTTGAATGCTAAAGTAGGAGAAACTTTTAGAGAGGGTGTGGTAGGTAAGTTTGGGGTGCCAGGTGTAAATGATAATGGGAGCCCTTTGATTGAACTTTGTATAGAAAGGGGTTTAGTTATAGGTAATACATATTTTAAGAAAAAGAGGATAAATAAGTATAACCGATATGATGTAGGGCGAAATGACAGTAGTTTGTTGGATTATGTATTGGTAGATAAAAGACTGTTGAGTAGACTTCAGGATGTACATGTTTATAGAGGGGCCACAGATATATCAGATCACTTTCTAGTTGTAGCTACACTGAGAGTAAAAGGTAGATGGGATACAAGGAGAATAGAAGCATCAGGGAAGAGAGAGGTGAAGGTTTATAAACTAAAAGAGGAGGCAGTTAGGGTAAGATATAAACAGCTATTGGAGGATAGATGGGCTAATGAGAGCATAGGCAATGGGGTCGAAGAGGTATGGGGTAGGTTTAAAAATGTAGTGTTAGAGTGTTCAGCAGAAGTTTGTGGTTACAGGAAAGTGGGTGCAGGAGGGAAGAGGAGCGATTGGTGGAATGATGATGTAAAGAGAGTAGTAAGGGAGAAAAAGTTAGCATATGAGAAGTTTTTACAAAGTAGAAGTGATGCAAGGAGGGAAGAGTATATGGAGAAAAAGAGAGAAGTTAAGAGAGTGGTGAAGCAATGTAAAAAGAGAGCAAATGAGAGAGTGGGTGAGATGTTATCAACAAATTTTGTTGAAATAAGAAAAAGTTTTGGAGTGAGATTAACAAGTTAAGAAAGCCTAGAGAACAAATGGATTTGTCAGTTAAAAATAGGAGAGGAGAGTTATTAAATGGAGAGGTAGAGGTATTGGGAAGATGGAAGGAATATTTTGAGGAATTGTTAAATGTTGATGAAGATAGGGAAGCTGTGATTTCGTGTATAGGGCAAGGAGGAATAACATCTTGTAGGAGTGAGGAAGAGCCAGTTGTGAGTGTGGGGAAGTTCGTGAGGCAGTAGGTAAAATGAAAGGGGGTAAGGCAGCCGGGATTGATGGGATAAAGATAGAAATGTTAAAAGCAGGTGGGATATAGTTTTGGAGTGGTTGGTGCAATATTTAATAAATGTATGGAAGAGGGTAAGGTACCTAGGGATTGGCAGAGAGCATGCATAGTTCCTTGTATAAAGGCAAAGGGGATAAAAGAGAGTGCAAAAATTATAGGGGGATAAGTCTGTTGAGTGTACCTGGTAAAGTGTATGGTAGAGTTATAATTGAAAGAATAAGAGTAAGACGGGAGAATAGGATAGCAGATGAACAAGGAGGCTTTAGGAAAGGTAGGGGGTGTGTGGACCAGGTGTTACAGTGAAACATATAAGTGAACAGTATTTAGATAAGGCTAAAGAGGTCTTTGTGGCATTTATGGATTTGGAAAAGGCGTATGACAGGGTGGATAGGGGGCAATGTGGCAGATGTTGCAAGTGTATGGTGTAGGAGGTAGGTTACTGAAAGCAGTGAAGAGTTTTAACGAGGATAGTGAGGCTCAAGTTAGAGTATGTAGGAAAGAGGGAAATTTTTTCCAGTAAAAGTAGGCCTTAGACAAGGATGTGTGATGTCACCGGGGTTTGTTTAATATATTTATAGATGGGGTTGTAAGAGAAGTAAATGCGAGGTCTTGGCAAGAGCGTGGAGTTAAAGATAAAGAATCACACACAAAGTGGAGTTGTCACAGCTGCTCTTTGCCGATGACACTGTGCTCTTGGGAGATTCTGAAGAGAAGTTGCAGAGATTGGTGGATGAATTTGGTAGGGTGTGCAAAAGAAGAAAATTAAGGTGAATACAGGAAAGAGTAGGTTATGAGGATAACAAAAAGATTAGGTGATGAAAGATTGAATATCAGATTGGGAGGGAGAGAGTATGGAGAGGTGAACGTATTCAGATATTTGGGAGTGGACGTGTCAGCGATGGGTCTATGAAAGATGAGGTGAAATCATAGAATTGATGAGGGAAAAAAGAGTGAGTGGTGCACTTAGGAGTCTGTGGAGACAAAGAACTTTGTCCTTGGAGGCAAAGAGGGGAATGTATGAGAGTATAGTTTTACCAACGCTCTTATATGGGTGTGAAGCGTGGGTGATGAATGTTTGCAGCGAGGAGAAGGCTGGAGGCAGTGGAGATGTCATGTCTGAGGCAATGTGTGGTGTGAATATAATGCAGAGAATTCGTAGTTTGGAAGTTAGGAGGAGGTGCGGGATTACCAAAACTGTTGTCCAGAGGGCTGAGTAAGGGTTTGTTGAGGTGGTTCGGACATGTAGAGAGAATGGAGCGAAACAGAATGACTTCAAGAGTGTATCAGTCTGTAGTGGAAGAAGGCGGGGTAGGGTCGGCCTAGGAAGGGTTGGAGGGAGGGGTAAAGGAGGTTTTGTGTGCGAGGGGCTTGGACTTCCAGCAGGCATGCGTGAGCGTGTTGATAGGAGTGAATGGAGACAAATGGTTTTTAATACTTGACGTGCTGTTGGAGTGTGAGCAAAGTAACATTTATGAAGGGATTCAGGGAAACCGGCAGGCCGGACTTGAGTCCTGGAGATGGGAAGTACAGTGCCTGCACTCTGAAGGAGGGGTGTTAATGTTGCAGTTTAAAAACTGTAGTGTAAAGCACCCTTCTGGCAAGACAGTGATGGAGTGAATGATGGTGAAAGTTTTTCTTTTTCGGGCCACCCTGCCTTGGTGGGAATCGGCCGGTGTGATAATAAATAATAAAAAGTAAAACAAGTACATGTACCAGTCATGCAGCCTCTTTCAAATGGAGTACTTTGATGCTGACAGAGCTCTAGCTCTAAGACATTTTAGTTGCCTCGCCTTCCTCAAGTCAAACCCAGTTATTCCTTTCTATCTCTCTCATTTCTCTGGCACTGTATGATCATATTACAATATGCATATAATAATGTACATGCAGCTCAGCACCAGGCATTCACCTCAGTAACACACACTTTACATGAACATATATATTTGGCCTTAATTTTTAATATAATCTACACGAATATGTCATTGATTCTCTCTACCTTTATTTTATGCAATAACTTCACTGTTAACCCTGTTGTCCATATACTGTACATACAATACTCCAGGCCTTTCCTTATGTCTTGGAGCTTTATACCACTGGTGATTTCACAAGCTCAAGTGTACACACAAAATTTGCAAAACTGAAATGGAAAAGGCAGTATATACACAAGTATAGTGTTGGTGCAGTACACGCAATAGTAGACTGCATCATATGCACAGGCACACTAATAGTGCAACACATGCAGTAACAGAATGTAACATTAATGCAACATTAATACAGCTACACTGTAGCACATGCTTCTATGCACTGTCACCCTAAAGAGAATTTAGATTCTGCCACCAAAACAGCTAGTTTATTTTGCACCCCCGTGTCCATCTTGTGGATGGTAGTGCAAGAGCATACGAACAGAGGGACAAATACAGACTTGGTGTTTGCAGTAATACATTCTTTTCACTTAATTTGTTTGCCTATAAGAAAATGCACATACATATACAGTAAGATGATCATGTTGCTTCTTCCATCTTAATTTATGTCTTTAATTTTGGCCATTTTTTTTTTTACTCCTTACCACAATGAGTCTTCATTTTCAGATCATTATAAAAATGTTAAATTCTATCTTGCATACATTCCATTGTTGCAATTTCTCAGTAGAGTTCTTGCTTGGCTCTGTTCCTTTGTAATATCTCTTTGTCTAGTTTACTGTTTTATTTTATTTTGAATGTTTGCATTTTTTTCATTATTTCACAGTAGTGAATCTTTATCTTCATTAATATTTCATGACTCATGAAAATCATAATAACACAGTTGCAAACAAATTACAGAACAGCTGGAGCCTGAACCCATGGCTGGTGAGTCCTAAAAGTTGTAGGCCACTATGCATAACAAATAATAATAATAATAATAATAATAATAATAAAACTTTCACCATCATTCACTCCATCACTGTCTTGTAAAGCACCCTTCTGGCAAGACAGTGATGGAGTGAATGATGGTGAAAGTTTTTCTTTTTCGGGCCACCCTGCCTTGGTGGGAATCGGCCGGTGTGATAATAAAAAATAAATAAAATAATAATAATCTTTATTTCTACAAGTCCATGATACAACTTATATAGACTTAGCTGACATCAGTGACATACTATGTAGAAAGTTGTGATGAATGGTTTTGAAAACCGACAAGTTGAAGAATTGAGACACTTATGCAACACATGGGAATCTTTATTGAAGAAATGTTTTGCCACACAGTGGCTTCATCAGTCCAGTACAAAGTAGAAATGGGTAAAGAGAGTAGAAGTTTGAGGTAACCAGTCCCTCAACCTGGAATCGATGTGTTCAGTCCATCACTCTTGTAGG